AAGATAAAGATCACTTATGGAATACCAGTTTATGGCAATGGATAGGTTTGGCAGAGACAAGCAGAATAAAACTTAGGACAAAGTTCATACAAGTTGTAGAAACATAAAAAAAAAATACTTAAAAACATTAAGAGTAGGTACAAAAATTACGACACTGTACATAATCTAGATGTTGTTTCTAATACATTTTTAAAAATCCATAACATTCTTATCGCATCACTATCTAGTGGGATGGTTGAAATCTCTGCAACCCTTTACTAGATGTCTCGATTTTGAACCCTTATGTATGAAGAACCCTCTGAATGGAGAGCACTTTACCCTTATTGGGCATATCTATTGCCACTAATCTATAGAATAATTGTCGAGTGGGCTTCAAATGAGGGATACTTAAAGTAGTAAGAATGAATTATGACATAGCGGATTCAGAATTTGTATGTAAATCTTTATAGATTTTAAACATTAGTTAGTAGTTAGCAAGTTTTAACTTACAGGATGAGGATCAAGATATTCTTAAAAAGATGACAGAATAGAAGCCCTCGACAGATTCTTCACTTAGTTATTTTCCACCGTCATCAGTGGAAAAATTGAACAATGGAGGGGAAATGATTGCACTAATAGCTTCTGGACAAGCTCAAGACCGTTACCAAGATGCAGTCACCTCAATGAAATTCAAAGACGATGTTAATCGAACCTACTGTTACTCTAATTCTATATGTTTCATATTTAAATAATAATAATAATAATTAAAAAAAAAGAGTAGCCATTCTATCAAATCCATTCTTAAAGGTGATATTACAAATACAAAGAACAAAAAAGAAACACATAAGCAAGACAATTAATTATTCTTTTTCGATCTTGCCTTGATAATGAAAATTTAAACAAAATATAATGTAACAATCAATTTGTTTTTGAACATACAAAAAATCCTAAACTAAATCAAGTTATAAACAAAGCAACAATTTAACTATATAAATAGAGATAAAGACAATGTTTCAGTAATTGAATTCTTATTTATACATATAACTGCATAAGGGAGATCTCACAACATTCCTCACAAATTATGACATTATTTCACTGCTTTAGACCTACTACACATAAGAATCTTTTCTAGAAGAGTTAAATTTATAGGACAAAAATTATTGTATATAAAAAGTCACATAGAAATTTGAAAGGTCAAACAATAAATATAAAAAAGATAATCCATGAACAATAATTTTGTAAGATACATGTATCTACTTTAACTTCTTTTCTTGAAAGAGTAATTGCCTATTTGTTTTCTTTTCCTATTTATTTTTCTCAGGCTTATAACATTTTTAGGTATTAGATAAATATATTTATCATGAACAATCACTTTGAAATAAATTTATTTTATCATATTAGTGATATGATAATATTTTAATTATATTTTAATATGATGTAGAGGCAAAATGATAGTCTAACTTTAATGTTAGGAGCTTTTCACTTTTAATAATAACTAGTTTTCTGACACGTGTGTTGCATGTAATTACCAATTTCAAAAATATATGTTATAGTAAATAGATTGCTTATTTAAGCGAAAATTTGAATAATAAGTTTAGCAAAAAATAATTTGCAGATTCTTTTGTGAATGTTCAATGTGGATGGTCATATATATCTCTTATTCACGCAAACCTATAAAGATTGTCAGCGAAAATTTTTATTAGTTAGATGCAATTATGTATATATTTATTTCAATTTGTTGAGGTTCAATCATATAATTAGTCTTATCTCACTAATATTACCTTGTAGACAATATTTGTTTTATATTTTCTTGCCATCTAACCATATGTGCTTTACATGTGTATTCTACGTTAAATTGTTTAGATGTCATATGAACATGTGAAGAGAACAACTACATTTTATATATTCACATATTTTCACATTTGTTGTGAGTTTTTTTTAAAAAGAACTCAGAACATTTTAAAATAATATAATTTGAAGTTAGAAATCTTGTTAACTTGATAATACATTTGTGACATATATAATATTTTAATTTAAATACAAATACCTACCCAAATTTAAGTATATATTTGCATTAATGAAAATATTTATCTCATAAAATTAGCTATTAAATAAATAATAAAAATTAAACTAATACAAACTTTAACTTGCATTATTACAAGTCATATGAACATTTTTTTCGTCTAAAATACTAAAATATAAAGAAATAGTAAATAAGTAAAACAAAAGGGCAATGTTTATATAGTATAATAACTATTTTAAAGCAAACTTCCTGGAATTCTAAATCACATAAGTAGCATTGATAAATAAAGTCATTTTTTTTATCTTGAGTATCAAAAAAAAATCGTGACAATTTTCTAAATTTTAGAAAATACATCACAAGAGAAATTGTTAACAAAAACAAATGAAGTTAGTCTACATCATCTTAACTTCATATATTGGAACATTACATACTAATGTGTATATTAAGCAAACAAATAATTATTATATCATCAAAATTATATTATTTTTCTCAAGTACTCGAGATTATGGAGCCATCTTAGGATAGAACAACTTACTTCATCAGAATAGTGGTACCTCATATTCCGCTAAACTTCGAACTCACTCAACAACAATAAATCACACAAAAAATTTGAAATGCAAGAAGAAGAAGAGTAGAAGATTAGAAAAATTGTGGTTGGAAAATGAGAGGAAACCCCTCTATTTATAGTCAACAAAGGGTAGAATGAACAAATATTTTTTGTGTCTTATTTGAAAAGTCATGACATATTGAAAAGTCACAACACTTTTGGAAAAGTTACAACTTATTAAAAAAGTCACAACTCTTTGGAAAAAGTCACAACTTATTGAAAAGGTCACAACTCATCGAAAAAGTCACAACCTATGTTAGGAATATTTTAGTAATTTAACATTCAATAGATATAGATAGATAGATAGATAGATAGATAGATAGATAGATTTTTTGGAGTAAGAAAGAAAAGGCTTTTTGATAGGTGAATAAAATTTGCATTAATTAATAACAACTGAGAGAATTTGCAATGATGTAACCAAGAAATTAAAGTGTTGGAGTTTTAATTCTACATTTACATAAACAAAATATAACTATTAAATTAAATTTACTATTTAATTAGATTTTGATTTAGTAAAGGGGAAAAATGGTAATTCAACTTTGAAGTTTGGAGCTTACCACTTTTAGTATAACTAGTTTTCGAGAACTTGCGTTGCACTTTTGTCTCATATGATTATTATCAACAATTCTAGTGATCGACCATTTCAACAACTTTTTGATCTTCTCCATTCTCTGCATGAAATCTAACAGAGAAATGTAGAAATGAAGGTAGAATATTGAAGAGGAGCCAATCTTTAGCTGCTTCCAACATTACAAGACATTAGTTAAGATATAGAAACCTGAATTCACTAACAAAATGTTATATCACCACAATAATAATTTTGACAGTGTTTGCTAAGATTAGAGCCATTAGAACTTGGGACAGAATAGCCCTGTAAAAAGAGCTCAAACAATAAAAACAAAAACATATTCTACAACTTCATTTAGCTAAGAATCATCAAAAGAATGCAAATATTTCGGGACGACATCCACATGTTCTCATAAATGAGTTTTGTGCTTGAAACAATTCATCAAGTTGTCTTGCTTGCCGGGGACTAACACCCAAGTAGTTTGTCATGAGACCCGTGATACCAAACATCATAGCCATTGAGATCTGCTTAAGAGCATTTTCCATATTCCTTATGTTAGCAATGGATTGCACACTGCATATAATAACAAGCCACGAGAAAATCTTGTATCTGATAACATGGCACCAAAGACGCTGAAGATGATGGCTATGAAGCCGTAGTAATATATAGGAAGATCTTGTGGACCAACCAGTGAAGCCTTGTACGATTTCGCCACCATATTCGAGTAAAAAGATTCAATGGGATTTGCAAATCCAATTTCTATTTGGGTGACTTAAATAAGGGACCTTAGGTAAGGGAAGATGAAAAGAATCAAATTATTAAAGATATTTTAGCCAAAAATTAAAAAGACCCATCAATTTCCAACTTGTTTGACCTTTGATCTTCATCAGTTTGCTCACAAACAAGAGATGAAGAAGCAATTGAAGAAGTATTGTGCCTCGAGAAAAGGAAGATTCTATTGACTTAAATCATAATTATGAGTATTTTTATGCAATATTATTAATGTAGATGAAGATCAAAGGTCAAACAATTAAGTTGGAAATTGATGGGTCTTTTTAATTTTTGGCTAAAAATCATTAATAATTTGATTCTTTTCATAATTATGAGTATTTTTACTGCAATATCATTAATGTAGAACAAATAATTGCTTTATATATAAAGGGTAAAACGGTAATTCAACTTTTGACTTGAGTTCTTCCCACATATAATATAACTAGTAAGTGGTGGGCTAGGCCTTACTTTTTATCACTATGAACACCTTTCTTTACAATCTTCCGAATCATTTGGTGAGTTAATTACTTCTGCAGCAGCCTACATTGCTGCGAATGCTCGTCATTTTTGTAGAATTCAGCTGCCTATTTCTCAAACGGTCCACAAAATGTTGATTTCAAAATCCTACCAAACAAGTTCACTTAAAAGGTTGATTTCACTTAACAGGAACCATCTAAGCAACTAATTGAATACAAAAAAAAACCGTACTCTTCGAGAATGGACCAATAATCAACCAAGCAATGCCAGATGTGTGTAACTGCAACTCAAGCAGCAGCAGCAGAGCCAAAGAGACTCCACTTGTATACTTTGAAACTAGAGACTGCAAGTTTAAAAACTTCAGCCATTGGCATAACTCCAGACTGTGCAGCAGGTACAGCCATGCCTGCCCCAACTGCGGTAGCACTCTCACTCAAGGGGCTAATATCTCAAAGGTAACAAAGAAAATGTTAGACAGCAAGCTAATTTTGACTTTATAACTTTAAGAATAGCAGGAGTAAAACGAGTTAGCGTCCAAACTTACTTAATTACTAGTCTCATATGCAGTTATCAGAACATCCGTCTCAACTTCCTCAAGGCGAATGTTTGCCAGGTACACCTGAATGGGACACGATCAGATCTCATCTTGCAGTTAAAACTGCATCGGGGAAGGGGGGGAAAGGGAATGTACACACTTACCTTAACCAAGTTCTGTGCTTCCCTCCCTTGTCTTCCCTTAGCAACTGCCTATGAATTGAATAAGGTTGATCAGGATTAGCTTGACAATATGAAATGATAAATTTTACCAATTAATAAACGCAGAGCACTTCTAAAATAACACTAACATACCATTTGACCAACAGCGGTGGTGATGACAGCAGGCATGTTTCTATAGCACAATGCAGGAGCCTCAAACACTTCTGACTGCTCAGTGATATGTAGATATAAACCGAAAAAAATCAACAAGATAATATCTGAGATGCTATGCAACCTAACAACTTATAACGACATGGGCATAACCAATAAGCAAACTGCAAGCTTCAGAGAAATGAACAAGTTCAATATCACACATTTCATGTAAAAGAACTTCCATTTATATGATTGTGTAATTACAAGAACAGTTATTTTGCAATGTAATTGATAGTAACCAGAAGTAGAGATCAGACAAAATAGAACAAAGCAAGTAGATTTACTGAAAATAGTTTGTGCTTTGGTGAGTCGAAAAGGCATTACGAGAAACTCATAATGGCCTAAATGAGTGCGAAAGGAAGTTTTATAGACATCATCAGGTTGGACACGAATTTGATGGTATCCGGAACGAAGATCAATTTTAGAAAAAATTGTGGCCCCGTGTAATTCATCTAACAAATCATCGATATTTGGAATTGGATATTTTTCCGGGACAGTGATTTTGTTTAGGCTACGGTAATCTACACAAAACCGCCAAGATTTATATTTATTTTTAACTAGCAGAACCGGACTAGCAAAGGGACTTGAACTAGGGCGAATGAAACCAGATTCTAATAAAGTTGCAACTTTGTTCTCAATTTCAGTTTTTTGACCATGTGGGTAACAATAAGGTCTGATGTTTAGAGGTTTAGAATTTGGTAATAGAGGAATAGCATGAGAATGTGCTCTAAATGGTGGAAGAGATGTTGGTTCAGAAAACACAAACTGGAATTCACGTAAAAGGGTTTGGATTGCATTACCTGGAACTTTTGATACCATGTTAAAAGATTAGAGAGAAGTTGTGGCTGAATCTGTCGATCTCACGCCTTGCAATTTGTAACGCTTCCCTTGCCAATTGAAAATTATGAACATATCCTTCCAGTTAGCTTGAATCGTATTGAGAGAAGCTAACCATTTGATACCAAAAAACAAATCAGCCCCTCCAATTGCAAAAGGGTAGTAATCCTGAGTGATAGTAAAGCCCGACAATTGAATTTGAAGATTCCGACAAACTTTATTGCAACGTATGGTATCTCCATTCCCTATTTGCACACCAAATGTTGGAACCATTTCTACTGGTATATTATGCTCCTCCACAATGGAATCAGCCACAAAATTATGTGTGGAAACACTATCCACAAGTATGAAAACCTTTTTACCATTGATCTCACCCTGAAACTTCATTGTAGCACACACTGATTGTCCCAAAACGAAATGGAAGGAAATTTCAGCAAGGTCATTTTCGTGAGGGTTATCACCAACTACTGCATTGACCTTGTCAACCTCTTCCACTCGAACTTCTCCAGTAATCTCCATGAGAGATAATTTTGCAGATTTGCATCTATGACCGGGTGCAAATTTCTCATCGCAACAAAAGCAAAGTCCTTGTGCCATAAGATTTCTCCTCTCGGTATCCCATGTTTGTGTTTGAAGAGGTTGTGAAGCGGCTGGGTTGGATGAAACACTGCTACGTAAATTGTGATTTGCAGATGAAGAATTGTTCTGGGTGTTTCTAAAAGAATTCAATGGATTTTGTACTGTGGGTCTATTGTTTGGGGTCCAATTAGGCACTCTATTGCTGCGAGTTGTGCCTAATTTATTTTCAAAATTCAAGTGTCAAACTCATAGCCCTATAAACTGTTCTAGGTTTGTGAATCCTAACAACAGATTTAAGTTCCTCTTTCAACCCATTCAGGAACAACCCTAAAAGATAGTGATCTGGCCAATTTGTAACCCTAGATGAACGCTTTGCAAATTCTTGATGATACTCATGTACAGAACATGTTTGCTGAATGTTACAAAGGTGCTCGTTGGGATTTTGAAACTCTGCAGCACCATAATTTTCCTGCAATGCTTTAACAAGTTCTTCCCCTTTCCTACAATGCTTTAACAAGTTCTTCCCAATAAAGCAAAGTTCGCTCACGATTTATCCAAGAGAAGAGATCCAGAGCATCCCCTTCCAAATACATCATCGCGATGTCAACATTATGTTCTTCTTGAGTTTGATAGTAGCAGAAAAATATTTCTGCTTTCAAAATCCATCCTTTAGGATTGCCTCCTTCAAATCTGGGGAATTCCATCTTTGTGTATGGCTTTCGGGGAGGATTTTCTGACCAAGATAGACTATCAATGTCTTCTTCCTCATCTTGCCAACCAGACTTTCCTTTATTACGGTTTCTGTGACTAGATTCTTCTTATTGAGTGCAACTAGTCTAGGCCTTTAATGTTTCAACATCTGCTGCCATGGAGTCAATCGTATTTAACTTTGACGCTATGTCAGATAATTGTTGGGCAAGAGATTCAACATTGGGAAGGCCTTCTTGGGAATTAAACAATCTGATATTGACCATGTTGGATCGATCTGCTCTGATACCAAAACTGATAGTAACCAGAAGTAGAGATCCGACAAAATAGAACAAAGCAAGTAGATTTACTGAAAATAGTTTGTGCAAGTATCTTAACACAACTATACAGATAAAGTTGTCCGTATGGAGTGGACAAGACTCCAGAAAATAGTAGTTTTGATTCTTAATTACATAATACCAATAACTAATCCTGATTACATATATATATAGAGAACATAATAGGATAAGACTGACACTATAAACTATAAATTAGGAATAATAACTGCTAGACAACTGTTGTAGCAATTTTTTGTCCAGAATTCAACTCTTTATTCTTTTGTCGATATTTTCTTCTGAACTATGTCTTGAGAGGTGGGTTGGTATCAGCAATACTGGACCTTGAAGAAAAACTCGAAGAGTTGTTGGAGTACTGAACTACTTTAACCAAGATCTAAAGAGATAAAACCAGAAATCATAAATTCTTTTGAAACAAAACTAAAATTAAAATAGAGAACTAAACAGTGATATATGGAGGAAATCCATTGATTTACTGCGAGTTGGTTTGGTCCTCGTGAGGTCAAACCCAATGGAAGATGAATTAATGTGAAATAATTCTTTATTAGTACAAAATAAAAAGGTCAAGATAGTTTCTTTGTAGGTGAAATTTAGGTGGCGTTGGAGATCTCCAAACCAGCGAACCACATAGAGACATAGAACACTCTAGGAAGCCATGCCAAAATGTTGATCGATCCTTCAACCATTATGTCTGGTTGCAGTTCATTCTTTCTATCCCAAGGAAGTAATGCCTTTTTCTTATGTAGCTTTCTTCTTGGTTTTGCTAGGACCAATAAAGGGTAAAAAAAAAGATAAATTCCATTTTACTCTGCCCTGCTTACCATTTTAAAAGGGAAAAAATCACTTTGGTCTTTATGGATCAGTATTTAAACGAATTACCAAAATGTCTGAGTAGTGCATGCAGGGGCGGATTTAGCAAGGGTTATGGGTGTCACGTGACAGTGCTTTACATAATATATATAGTGTGAAAAGGGAAAAAACAGTGATGCAGGTATATATTATAAATGTGACACTCCTTTAATCAAACTTGCGCGTAGTTCAACTGGTTTTTGGCCGTGGGATCAAACCTTTATGGATATAATATATATATATATATATATATATATAATATGGTAGTTGTTGGCATGTCCCTACAATTAGTTAGTTCATATAAGCATATATATTCACTCCCTCAAAGAGCATATAAATTTTAATCAAACAGAAACGAAGTTATCCCAAAACAGTTGATCTTAGCTTACTGTATTTCCGTTAGCCTCTTGTTCATTGGCAAGGTCTTGAAGAAACCAAGTGGCACTACCACGCCAAAATAAAAAAAAACAAAAAAATTTAAAACAAGAAAAAAAAAAACTTCAACAGCTTGCTTTGAACGCAAGTTCAAATTTTCTTTTACAAATTCAATTTATAAAAAAAAATTAAAAATAAAAACATAGTAAAGTAAAAAATATATATATCAAAGCCAGGTTTTGATCCTGGGACCTGTGGGTTATGGGCCCACCACGCTTCCGCTGCGCCACTCTGATTGTGTTGATAATACCTTTCAGTGGAACTATATCAAATGTAAATTGTACTCCCTTCGTCCCCTTTAGTTGACATTTTTTTAGAGTCAAATGATAAAATCTTTAACTAATATTTTGCAATGTATTAATTCATCATATTGATATGCAAAAAAATTACAATTTATAGTACTTTTCGTATAGTATTTTGAATATTTAGCATTTTAATACTATAACATGTTTTGCTTTTGGGATTAAGTTGAGTGTCATTCCTGGGTTTGTAAGACCATGTTTGGAATGACTTAAATGTTGGTCAAATCTACTTTTAAGTCATTTTTTTAGTTTTTAAGAGTGTTTGACAAAGTTAAAAATAAGGCGGATTGACTTGGGAGGCCCTGTACTTAGTTCCATTTGTCAATTGGACCATTCTACTCACCACTTTGCCAATTGAACCCTTAAACACAGTAAAACACAACATTTTAAACCTCTTTTTTGGATGGCTCAAGGGCGTGTGCATTACAATTGATTCCACGTTGATTTCATGTCAATTCCACATCATTTAAAATTGCCACATAAAAAATTACATGTTAAAAGTCTAAAACCTCCTATTTCATTTCGTTTTCTCTTTTTTCAACAAATAGACCCACATAATTTTCTCACTCCAATTTTTTCCCTTCACCCCCATGGTATTGTCGATTGTTGAAGGTGTTAGTGCAATTTTTAATCTCTCTTTGTATTAACCTCATCTTAACCTTGAACAAAATCTGTTTTATTCACTATTTTTTTGTCTATGATTTTCGTGTATCTCAAATTTTAGGATTATAAAATTAGAGAAAATTAATTTCTTGTGATTTTTTTATGTGACCGAAGAAAGCTAAATAAAATCTGGGTATATGATGAAAATGGAGATAGATTAATTTTTTCTCTTTTGGGTGTTAGAGAAAATGAAAAAAGATCTTTTTTTTGTTTGCTGGGTGTTTGATGAAATTATACTATGAGTATTTTTTTTCTTCTTTTTTTGGTGTTTGATGAAATTGGAGGAAGCTTGTTATATTAAAGGGAGATTATTGAAGAGAAAACT